AGGAGTTGCGCTAATATTGCGCAACATAAAAATTTGCAACTACCACCATTTTATTCTATAGGGTCTTGGCATTCAGAAAATATATAATGTTGGGGGGTTTTAAGTAATTTTCAGGCCTAAAATGTGGAATATAACATGGGTACAAAAAATAAAAAAAAAGGCCTCGGTCATGAAGGGGTTAAGAAATGTTGTGACATCCAGACTGAAAAAGGTAAAAGGTAAAATTTAAAAGCCCTTACCACATCAAAGGAATGGAGAGGGTTAAATGTCCTCATTTAGGTGAAAAGGACAGAGCCTCAGGAAAAAAAGTCAGTTAGTAGGTTAGTGACACGCAAGAACACTGAGGGGGTGAGTTGTGGAGTAGAAAGATATATCTGAGATGGTGTTAGAAGCCGTGTGAGGTTATTAACTGACCAAGGGAGGAGGTATAGATGGAGAAGAGGTCCAAGGACAGAGCCTTGGGGAACCCCTTCAGAGAGAGGAGGGGAGGAGTTAGATTTGTAGGTGACACTAAGTGAGAGCTTAGATAGGTAGGAGGAGAACCATGAGATAGCAGAGTCTTGTAGGCCAAGCGAGTGGAGTTTTTTGAGGAGAAGCAGGTGGTCAACAGTGTCAAAAGCAGCAGAAAGGTCTAATCGCAAGAGTAAGGAGTAGTGGCCATTGTTTTTTGCTGTTAGTACGTCATCAGTGAGTTTTAGGAGGGCGGTTTCAGTGGAGTGTAGAGGGCGAAAGCTGGACTGTAAGGGCTCGTGAAGGTCATCAGCATCTCAGACGGCTATAGATAAGGCGTTCTAGGAGTTTGGAAATGATCGGGAGTAAGGAGATTGGTCTGAGATTTTTGAGGTTGGTAGGGTCCAGTAAAGGTTGTTTGGGTATTGGGGTGACTAGCGCATGTTTTAAGGGGAGGGAAAGATTGAAAATGTGAGTAAGAGAGTGTAGGATAGAGTAAGACGGTGACCGAAGAAGTAGTGAGGGAACTGGATCCAGGGGCAAGTGGTGAGGTGGGTGTCAGAGAAAAGCTTTGTAACCTCCTCTGTGGTGACAGGGTCAAAAGAGGAAAGCAACAAGTGTGATGGTGGATCTGGTACATTTATAGGGGAAGATGACTGGACAGTGGCAATCTGATCCTGAATTGTATCTATTTTGTTTTTGAAATGAATGGCAATGTCCTGGGCAGTGAGTGAGTTAGTGGGCGGTGGAGGACATAGTAGAGAGTTAAAAGTAGAAAAGAGTTGATGTGGTCTGGATGAGAGAGTGTTAATGAGAGTGACAAAATAAGTCTGTTTGGCAGCACGGAGGAAGGAGTTATATTTTAGGATGTCAGCTTTATATAGGGTGAAGTCTTGCAGAAGCCTAGTTTTCCTCCACGGACGTTCAAGAGCAAGGCTATGTCTTTTTTAGATGTCTGGTTTCTTTAGTTTGGCACGGTTGTAGTTGATGTGGTCGAAGTCGGCGTGTAGTGAGGGGTGCCAAGGTGTCTAGGGAGGATGAGTGCAAGCTGTTGTAGACAGTAGTCGGGGCAGGACAGGGGTGAGATTTTGTCATAGAGGTAGTCGGTAGCAGAGTAGAGAAGATTAGGGTTGAGGTGGCGAAGGTTTCTCCGGGTGACAGTGTGCCCCATGTAGGAGGATTCAGGGTTGGAGACAGGGCGAGTGTGAAACTGACAAGGTCCTGGTCTGAGAGGGGGAAAGGGGAGGTTGCAAGGAGTGCATAGGTGAGAGAATACAAGATCTAGTATGTTACCGTAGGAGTGTGTGTCCATTGTGTTAGGTCAAAAGAAGAGGTTAGGTTAAGAAATTGAGTGTAAGCCGGAGTATTAATGTTATTAGCAATGTTAGTCACCAAGAATGATGGTGGGTATTTCTGAGGAAAGAAAGTAGGGTAGCCTGGCAGAGAAGTCATCAATAAAGCGAAATACCGGTCCAGGGGGCTGGTATCTAACAGTGATTCTAAGCGAAATTGAAGAGAATAGGCGAATACAGTGGGTTTCAAAAGAGGAGAGGGTTAGAGAGGGAGGTGAAGGCAGAACTTAAAAAGTGCATTATGGGGATAGAAGGATTTCCGCTCCACCTTCTTTCCGTCCACTCGGTCTGGGTGAGTACGTCCAGTGGAGGCCACCATGGGAGAGGGCAGAGGCAGAGTCGGATTCCTGAAGCCAGGTTTCAGTAACTGCAAGCATGTTAAAGGAATTGGAGATAAGAAGATTAGGCAGAGCGGTGAGTTTGTTACAGACGGAGTGGGCATTCCAGAGGGCCCATGAGAAAGATGGACTGGTTCTAGGAAGCAGGGGAATAGAAGTCAGGGTGCGTGGATTGCAGCTGCGGCTTTTGTTTTGAAAACATCCAGAAAGGAACTCCAGCAACATCAAGAAGTCTTAACATCGCAGAAGAGTTCCCCTTTAATCTCTGAACATCATCTGCTGAAAGCTTGATTGAAGAAGAACCCTGCAGACTTCTCTTTTGCTTATTGAACTATGAACTCTGTCAGAACTCTTAAAACCAGGACTGTTAAGTATTCACCTTTTATTCCCTTTTATTTTACTATTCTTTATATATTTTGTCTCTCCTTTTTAATATCTTTTTCTGAATATTTTCTGCACCGTTTCTTAAAGGACGATCTTAAAAATCATGAAGCTTATCTCTACGCTCTAAATACGAACTTAAAGTATCCTTGCCTCTGTGAAGAACGCTACTGTATAGTGAATCCTGTCACATTCCTGTCTGAGAGGACAGCAGTATTATAGGCATTGCTTAAGTGTTTAAAATTGTCGCAGCTCTTGCTGGGCACGGTCTGTGTTTCCATTAAACACATAGTGGCAACGAACGTTTGTGGGTAAAGGGTTAACTGCGGAGTTGACCAACCTTGGTGACGATCGCTCTGTCTGCTGGCCTGAGATTGTGTCCCGCGAGCTGGGAAATCTCTGTGCAGGATGAGGAGGTATCGCCACATCCTTGTGACACCACGCTCGGTTCAGAACTGTGTTTAGTCACGGGTGATTGACGTACAGCGGGTTTGAGTCGGGTTTTATTAGAATGGCCCCCCTTTAAATTAATAGCGGTCATCAGCGACTGATAACAGCCTCTTCTTTCTGCCTGCCGGCGCTTTAATCTGGGATCCTCCTCGGATCACCTCTGCTCTCCCTGCCTGTACGGGCTGAGGCAGTGGGCAACCGAGGAGAAATGGCTGGCGGGGGGTGCGGAGAGGAGAGCAGTGACATCCAGGATGGCAGAGCGGTAATGAAAGTGGAGCCGCCGGTTGTCAGATTAAGAGCCGGCGGCTCGATCTGTGCGTGCCGAGCGGGTCAGGATGGAGAGCATGAGGATCCGTACATATGTGTAATATTTATCGATCCTCTGTGCAGAGCAAAAACTGGAGTGATCAGGTCAGCACTATGTGTCCCCAGTTATGAATAATCAGGACTGCCTGAGATGGTTATTCCAGGCGTCCTTTACAAAAAAATAAAAAATGAGTGAAGAGGAAGTCCTTTGCATCACTTCCTGTTCTTGAGTTTATCAATGGGTGGAAGCCTCAGTATACAGGCTTCTACCCATTCATTAACTGGATGATAGTAAATGTTTTACTATCGCCAGTTATGAATGTGAAGCCTCTGTACTAAGTGCTTTCCACTCATACATTGCTGAGGCTGCAGAAAAATAGATTGAGAACTCTGTCTTCAATTCAATTTTCAAATAGGAAATGTCAGTGGTCTGTTTTAGACCCCTGATATTTCCCCCGAATCCGCCCCCCCAACAGTAAAAAATATAATTGAAAAAATTATAAAAACATAAATAATAAAAAGTAGAACACAACACCCCCTCATATTGTGGTGTACGCCATGCACATGCGCTGCGGTGCATTGTTTAGAACGCATCACAGTACTGTGTTTTTGTTTTTCCTTTTTTAAATATTAATTTAACTGTGGCAGCGCATGTCAAAGCATTGTGACGCATTGCTGTGCATTGTGATTAATTATACATTAGTCGCTTATTTACAGTTTTGCATTCCTTAATTTTTTACCTTTTCCATAAAAAGGCGCAATTTGAAATTTACAAACATTTGTTATTTATTAACTTGATACAGTTTTTTAAATCTTTTTAGATTTAGTGGGAATTGTTTTTTTGTGTGTAATTATTGCAGGACTTAAAAAATTTGTAGCACCATGTTTTTATTCTATTGGGCCTGTGCTTTCATAAAATATATGGTTTAGGGGGTCTTTTACAACGCAGCAGTAGAAAGTCAAAACAATGGGAAAAGTTGCAAAAATGGTGTGGCCAGCTGAGGTGTAAAGCGCTCCGAAGGGCTTGGCAGCGAAAGAGTTGATAACTTTCATTTAAATCTTAAACTAAAAGTCTAAAACTAGAATCTCATGTGTGTCTAAACTTTGTAAATGGTAAAGTTCTTCATCATTGCATAGATGAACAGTTCTGGGTGCGGATCAAAAATATGTAATACAAGCCCTGCAGGAAAGTAATTTACTCCAATAGGTTCCTACCTTTTTACTCAAATAGTTTCATCTATGCCTTACCCCTCAGACTTCCATTAACCACCCAAAAAAGTAATTTGTGATTTGTTTTCTTTTTTGTTCATATAAATATGGAAAACAACTCAATAGTAACAATTTTTGTCTGACAGATTAAAGACCTGTGATTCTAGGCAGGCTAATTACCATTTTAGGCACTGAAGTCTCCCCAACTACCAAAAATGATGACCCACGCACTGACCAAGTTGTTGTATTCTAATGCTGTAAACCCACAGTGCAATGTCATAATATAGTGGAAAGTGATATTCCTGCTACTCAGCAAATGGTCTTGGTTTTGCTACTGTAGCTTTCTTTTGTCAGCTTGACTTGCTATGCAAGATTGATGCTTTACTCAATTTAATGTTGTGTCAAAGTTTTATTTTGTGTATTTAAATGCTGTAAAAATTAGGTTATCGGGAACACTTTAGAGATAACAATATATAAATATTTTCTCTTTTTTGTTTACTTTTCTCAATGGCAGAAGTTCATCCTCTACTGGGTGTTAAGGGGGACAGTAAATCCAAGAAGAAGCAGTCAGGACGACCTAAAGGAGCTAAAGGTAAAGAGAGAGACTCTCAATTAAATCCGAAAACCTGCAAGGGTGACAGGGGCATGTCTCTGGATGCTGCAATGAAAGGCAAAGCTCAGAATGAGCTGCCACAAGTACTGACAGGTAAGGGCAGTACTAATCGGTGCAGATATCATGTCTGCTACCTGTGCCCCTGGCTTCATGCAGATGTCGTACCCTCGCACGCTGCTCTTAAACCATCCAAAGCAGTTTGGCATCTGTGTACGAAGTTAGAAAATCGTGAAAAAAAACTCCCAGAATTATTCTGGTATTATTTTGGGAAACTTACTAGCTCAAGTACAAGTTTCCTTTGTGTACATACCACAATGCTCTAGAAATAATATTAAAGCCCGACCATTAAGAATTTGGATTCAGAGAATTATTTCTATTTAAGCAAGAGCAGTTCTTTTCACAAATGCTTACATGCATTATATTGTCAGTAAGCAGAAGGTGAATTGCTTGCCCTTCTATGGACTTTTTGGGGTACTGGGGTTTTTCGCCGTTTTACGGATGCACGCAATTTGTAACCTGGGCATGTTGGGTATCGTTTTACTCGTTGTAACCTCATCTTTTATATTTCATTAGAAAAATGGGTATTTTGTTGTGTTTTGGGGCATTTAATTAAATTTTTCACTAAATATTGGGGTTTAATAAGGAGTTGCGCTAATATTGCGCAACATAAAAATTTGCAACTACCACCATTTTATTCTATAGGGTCTTGGCATTCAGAAAATATATAATGTTGGGGGGTTTTAAGTAATTTTCAGGCCTAAAATGTGGAATATAACATGGGTACAAAAAATAAAAAAAAAGGCCTCGGTCATGAAGGGGTTAAGAAATGTTGTGACATCCAGACTGAAAAAGGTAAAAGGTAAAATTTAAAAGCCCTTACCACATCAAAGGAATGGAGAGGGTTAAATGTCCTCATTTAGGTGAAAAGGACAGAGCCTCAGGAAAAAAAGTCAGTTAGTAGGTTAGTGACACGCAAGAACACTGAGGGGGTGAGTTGTGGAGTAGAAAGATATATCTGAGATGGTGTTAGAAGCCGTGTGAGGTTATTAACTGACCAAGGGAGGAGGTATAGATGGAGAAGAGGTCCAAGGACAGAGCCTTGGGGAACCCCTTCAGAGAGAGGAGGGGAGGAGTTAGATTTGTAGGTGACACTAAGTGAGAGCTTAGATAGGTAGGAGGAGAACCATGAGATAGCAGAGTCTTGTAGGCCAAGCGAGTGGAGTTTTTTGAGGAGAAGCAGGTGGTCAACAGTGTCAAAAGCAGCAGAAAGGTCTAATCGCAAGAGTAAGGAGTAGTGGCCATTGTTTTTTGCTGTTAGTACGTCATCAGTGAGTTTTAGGAGGGCGGTTTCAGTGGAGTGTAGAGGGCGAAAGCTGGACTGTAAGGGCTCGTGAAGGTCATCAGCATCTCAGACGGCTATAGATAAGGCGTTCTAGGAGTTTGGAAATGATCGGGAGTAAGGAGATTGGTCTGAGATTTTTGAGGTTGGTAGGGTCCAGTAAAGGTTGTTTGGGTATTGGGGTGACTAGCGCATGTTTTAAGGGGAGGGAAAGATTGAAAATGTGAGTAAGAGAGTGTAGGATAGAGTAAGACGGTGACCGAAGAAGTAGTGAGGGAACTGGATCCAGGGGCAAGTGGTGAGGTGGGTGTCAGAGAAAAGCTTTGTAACCTCCTCTGTGGTGACAGGGTCAAAAGAGGAAAGCAACAAGTGTGATGGTGGATCTGGTACATTTATAGGGGAAGATGACTGGACAGTGGCAATCTGATCCTGAATTGTATCTATTTTGTTTTTGAAATGAATGGCAATGTCCTGGGCAGTGAGTGAGTTAGTGGGCGGTGGAGGACATAGTAGAGAGTTAAAAGTAGAAAAGAGTTGATGTGGTCTGGATGAGAGAGTGTTAATGAGAGTGACAAAATAAGTCTGTTTGGCAGCACGGAGGAAGGAGTTATATTTTAGGATGTCAGCTTTATATAGGGTGAAGTCTTGCAGAAGCCTAGTTTTCCTCCACGGACGTTCAAGAGCAAGGCTATGTCTTTTTTAGATGTCTGGTTTCTTTAGTTTGGCACGGTTGTAGTTGATGTGGTCGAAGTCGGCGTGTAGTGAGGGGTGCCAAGGTGTCTAGGGAGGATGAGTGCAAGCTGTTGTAGACAGTAGTCGGGGCAGGACAGGGGTGAGATTTTGTCATAGAGGTAGTCGGTAGCAGAGTAGAGAAGATTAGGGTTGAGGTGGCGAAGGTTTCTCCGGGTGACAGTGTGCCCCATGTAGGAGGATTCAGGGTTGGAGACAGGGCGAGTGTGAAACTGACAAGGTCCTGGTCTGAGAGGGGGAAAGGGGAGGTTGCAAGGAGTGCATAGGTGAGAGAATACAAGATCTAGTATGTTACCGTAGGAGTGTGTGTCCATTGTGTTAGGTCAAAAGAAGAGGTTAGGTTAAGAAATTGAGTGTAAGCCGGAGTATTAATGTTATTAGCAATGTTAGTCACCAAGAATGATGGTGGGTATTTCTGAGGAAAGAAAGTAGGGTAGCCTGGCAGAGAAGTCATCAATAAAGCGAAATACCGGTCCAGGGGGCTGGTATCTAACAGTGATTCTAAGCGAAATTGAAGAGAATAGGCGAATACAGTGGGTTTCAAAAGAGGAGAGGGTTAGAGAGGGAGGTGAAGGCAGAACTTAAAAAGTGCATTATGGGGATAGAAGGATTTCCGCTCCACCTTCTTTCCGTCCACTCGGTCTGGGTGAGTACGTCCAGTGGAGGCCACCATGGGAGAGGGCAGAGGCAGAGTCGGATTCCTGAAGCCAGGTTTCAGTAACTGCAAGCATGTTAAAGGAATTGGAGATAAGAAGATTAGGCAGAGCGGTGAGTTTGTTACAGACGGAGTGGGCATTCCAGAGGGCCCATGAGAAAGATGGACTGGTTCTAGGAAGCAGGGGAATAGAAGTCAGGGTGCGTGGATTGCAGCTGCGGCTTTTGTTTTGAAAACATCCAGAAAGGAACTCCAGCAACATCAAGAAGTCTTAACATCGCAGAAGAGTTCCCCTTTAATCTCTGAACATCATCTGCTGAAAGCTTGATTGAAGAAGAACCCTGCAGACTTCTCTTTTGCTTATTGAACTATGAACTCTGTCAGAACTCTTAAAACCAGGACTGTTAAGTATTCACCTTTTATTCCCTTTTATTTTACTATTCTTTATATATTTTGTCTCTCCTTTTTAATATCTTTTTCTGAATATTTTCTGCACCGTTTCTTAAAGGACGATCTTAAAAATCATGAAGCTTATCTCTACGCTCTAAATACGAACTTAAAGTATCCTTGCCTCTGTGAAGAACGCTACTGTATAGTGAATCCTGTCACATTCCTGTCTGAGAGGACAGCAGTATTATAGGCATTGCTTAAGTGTTTAAAATTGTCGCAGCTCTTGCTGGGCACGGTCTGTGTTTCCATTAAACACATAGTGGCAACGAACGTTTGTGGGTAAAGGGTTAACTGCGGAGTTGACCAACCTTGGTGACGATCGCTCTGTCTGCTGGCCTGAGATTGTGTCCCGCGAGCTGGGAAATCTCTGTGCAGGATGAGGAGGTATCGCCACATCCTTGTGACACCACGCTCGGTTCAGAACTGTGTTTAGTCACGGGTGATTGACGTACAGCGGGTTTGAGTCGGGTTTTATTAGAATGGCCCCCCTTTAAATTAATAGCGGTCATCAGCGACTGATAACAGCCTCTTCTTTCTGCCTGCCGGCGCTTTAATCTGGGATCCTCCTCGGATCACCTCTGCTCTCCCTGCCTGTACGGGCTGAGGCAGTGGGCAACCGAGGAGAAATGGCTGGCGGGGGGTGCGGAGAGGAGAGCAGTGACATCCAGGATGGCAGAGCGGTAATGAAAGTGGAGCCGCCGGTTGTCAGATTAAGAGCCGGCGGCTCGATCTGTGCGTGCCGAGCGGGTCAGGATGGAGAGCATGAGGATCCGTACATATGTGTAATATTTATCGATCCTCTGTGCAGAGCAAAAACTGGAGTGATCAGGTCAGCACTATGTGTCCCCAGTTATGAATAATCAGGACTGCCTGAGATGGTTATTCCAGGCGTCCTTTACAAAAAAATAAAAAATGAGTGAAGAGGAAGTCCTTTGCATCACTTCCTGTTCTTGAGTTTATCAATGGGTGGAAGCCTCAGTATACAGGCTTCTACCCATTCATTAACTGGATGATAGTAAATGTTTTACTATCGCCAGTTATGAATGTGAAGCCTCTGTACTAAGTGCTTTCCACTCATACATTGCTGAGGCTGCAGAAAAATAGATTGAGAACTCTGTCTTCAATTCAATTTTCAAATAGGAAATGTCAGTGGTCTGTTTTAGACCCCTGATATTTCCCCCGAATCCGCCCCCCCAACAGTAAAAAATATAATTGAAAAAATTATAAAAACATAAATAATAAAAAGTAGAACACAACACCCCCTCATATTGTGGTGTACGCCATGCACATGCGCTGCGGTGCATTGTTTAGAACGCATCACAGTACTGTGTTTTTGTTTTTCCTTTTTTAAATATTAATTTAACTGTGGCAGCGCATGTCAAAGCATTGTGACGCATTGCTGTGCATTGTGATTAATTATACATTAGTCGCTTATTTACAGTTTTGCATTCCTTAATTTTTTACCTTTTCCATAAAAAGGCGCAATTTGAAATTTACAAACATTTGTTATTTATTAACTTGATACAGTTTTTTAAATCTTTTTAGATTTAGTGGGAATTGTTTTTTTGTGTGTAATTATTGCAGGACTTAAAAAATTTGTAGCACCATGTTTTTATTCTATTGGGCCTGTGCTTTCATAAAATATATGGTTTAGGGGGTCTTTTACAACGCAGCAGTAGAAAGTCAAAACAATGGGAAAAGTTGCAAAAATGGTGTGGCCAGCTGAGGTGTAAAGCGCTCCGAAGGGCTTGGCAGCGAAAGAGTTGATAACTTTCATTTAAATCTTAAACTAAAAGTCTAAAACTAGAATCTCATGTGTGTCTAAACTTTGTAAATGGTAAAGTTCTTCATCATTGCATAGATGAACAGTTCTGGGTGCGGATCAAAAATATGTAATACAAGCCCTGCAGGAAAGTAATTTACTCCAATAGGTTCCTACCTTTTTACTCAAATAGTTTCATCTATGCCTTACCCCTCAGACTTCCATTAACCACCCAAAAAAGTAATTTGTGATTTGTTTTCTTTTTTGTTCATATAAATATGGAAAACAACTCAATAGTAACAATTTTTGTCTGACAGATTAAAGACCTGTGATTCTAGGCAGGCTAATTACCATTTTAGGCACTGAAGTCTCCCCAACTACCAAAAATGATGACCCACGCACTGACCAAGTTGTTGTATTCTAATGCTGTAAACCCACAGTGCAATGTCATAATATAGTGGAAAGTGATATTCCTGCTACTCAGCAAATGGTCTTGGTTTTGCTACTGTAGCTTTCTTTTGTCAGCTTGACTTGCTATGCAAGATTGATGCTTTACTCAATTTAATGTTGTGTCAAAGTTTTATTTTGTGTATTTAAATGCTGTAAAAATTAGGTTATCGGGAACACTTTAGAGATAACAATATATAAATATTTTCTCTTTTTTGTTTACTTTTCTCAATGGCAGAAGTTCATCCTCTACTGGGTGTTAAGGGGGACAGTAAATCCAAGAAGAAGCAGTCAGGACGACCTAAAGGAGCTAAAGGTAAAGAGAGAGACTCTCAATTAAATCCGAAAACCTGCAAGGGTGACAGGGGCATGTCTCTGGATGCTGCAATGAAAGGCAAAGCTCAGAATGAGCTGCCACAAGTACTGACAGGTAAGGGCAGTACTAATCGGTGCAGATATCATGTCTGCTACCTGTGCCCCTGGCTTCATGCAGATGTCGTACCCTCGCACGCTGCTCTTAAACCATCCAAAGCAGTTTGGCATCTGTGTACGAAGTTAGAAAATCGTGAAAAAAAACTCCCAGAATTATTCTGGTATTATTTTGGGAAACTTACTAGCTCAAGTACAAGTTTCCTTTGTGTACATACCACAATGCTCTAGAAATAATATTAAAGCCCGACCATTAAGAATTTGGATTCAGAGAATTATTTCTATTTAAGCAAGAGCAGTTCTTTTCACAAATGCTTACATGCATTATATTGTCAGTAAGCAGAAGGTGAATTGCTTGCCCGCAATGTTTGGTTTAAGACTAGTACCATCTTTGATTTTTTTTCCTTACTGCAGTAATCATTTCAAAATATATAGTACTTTCATATCGTTTACAATACTCTTTTTTTTAAATTACAAATAATAGAACACTCACAGATATATTTGCCATTCTGTCACTCCTTTGCTGCTCTAACTACAGGGAGCGAAGAAAACAAAAACATGTTTTTTTCAGGTACTGGGGAGCATCTGGAGCACCCTTGATAGCCCAACTGTACAAAGGGCTTCAAAGGGCTAAACCCATTCCCCTGAAAAGCTAGGTTGTCTGTTTGACAGAGGACAGTTCATTAAGTTCTATACCCATGCTGATCCTTGACAGTTTATAACTAACTAATTTTCCAGGTAATTGGCCTGTTCACTTAGTAGCGTTTCTTTTTTTTTTTTAGTCCAATAACCTAGAGCAAGTAGTTTCCAAATGTATTGCCTTAACTAAAGTATGATGTAAACTATTCATATCTTGAGTTAATAGTGCACAAATTAATAAAGCAGCATGTTCACATATGTTCTTAATTAAGCAGCCAAAATGTGGAGTCAAATTCTGCTTCTCTTGTTTGGATTCTGAACCATTTGATCAGATCTTGACAAGGTAGAATGCGTTTGTTGCTGTTAAAAACAAGAGAATAAACCATAGGCACCACTTTTCTCCTGTGGGACCATTTACAATGGACATGCATTGACAAATGTATTTTCCAAATGCTTCCATTGAATGCTATATGAAATCCCTCTTAGTGATGCACAATAATGAATCCAGCTGACAGAGCTGATCCTTGTAATCCTTTTTTTTTTAATTAAAAGAAAAGCAGCGGAGGCTTCTATTTACTTTAGCTACATTATAATATTCACCTACCTTCTTCACATTAGTGTCAGTTGCTATATTTGCTTTGCTGCTTCCTCCCTCTTGCTGCTGTATTTTTGCTCTGCTTTTAAAAAAAAAACTTTTGTCTGTTTATTTTTAGGAGGTGGTGCCATTTCTGAGCTCCTGTGAACTATGCCTGATTCTTGAAAATCTGCATTATTTGTCATCAAGTTCCTGTTAAATTTGGACTGATTAATTCCAGTGACAATAAATGGGATATTCTCATTAACATTTTGTGTTAGAACAAGGATCAATAGAATCCTTGTGTTTTTAATAACACCTACTTTTAATATATGAAGCTGTTCTGCAAATGTATCAGTTATATTGGATACATTGAAACCATGTTTCCTGCCTTGCTTTGCCAGAAGGAACACATTCTTCCAGTTTTACTTTGACACCAGTTGACCGTTTCTTGGATATTTCCTGAGCTTCATACAAGTGGAATATCTGTAAGGCTCTCTTTCCTGAACTTAGCCAGTAATGGAAATCAGCATTATATAATTGGGGAACCAGATGTGAAAAAAACCTTATCAAAATCTTCAAGAGAAAAAAATGATTCTGGGACTTTTTGGTTTTATGTTTTTGATCCCATGGATTTGTCTGTCCCTCAGAGGTGGGGAAATAAAACTGCCTTGTATTTGTTTATATTGTCATTTCTTTTTCATAAGTTTGTATATTTTTAATGCACCGTTTTGAGTTAGTCTAACTGAGTTTACCTTTGCATTTTATCATTATTGTTACTTTTGACTTACAATATGTATAACCATAAAATAAAACGGGTATTCACCCTCTTGGAAGTTTTCATGTTTTATTATTATAAAACATTGAATCATAGTAAATGTAATTTTGTTCCTTTACTTTGCTCAACAGAAATATTCTCTTTAATGTCAAGGGGAAAAACAATCTTTGCAAAGTGATTTTAATGAATTCCAATGAAACATAGAATGATTGCGTAAGTGTGCTTCACCTAATATAACAGACCAAAATCATCCCTGGTGCAGCATTTCCTTTACAAAGCCACATGCTTTTTTAAATTGAGTTCACCTGTATGTTGTCATGCAATCGTAGTATATATGCAGGTTCAACCTTTCTGGTAAGTCACTATTATGGTATAACCTAAACCATGAAGACAAAAAAAAACACTCCAAGAAACTCAGAGAACGGATATAGGAAAGTCACTGAATATCCCTTAGACTACAGTTAACCCCTTCATGACTGAGCTAGTTTTTAGTTTCTGTTCCTAAATGACTGACATTGGCTGACTGACTAAATGACTGACTTGGCCTTAGTGGCCAAGACTAAACTAAAGTATGGCGTGACACAAACACTGCACAGTCATAGCCACACCACCCCCCTGTGAAGCGTGGTGGGGACAGCATTATTCTGTGGGGATGCTTATATGCTGTAGGCCCTGCAAGGCTTATGAGAATAGAATTAATCAAACCCAATATAAAGAAATTCTTAATCTACTGCAGTCTACTAGAAGCTGAGCCTGGGAAGAAGCTTTAGTTAGTAACACAAAGCATAAAACCAAAACTACACAAAATCAACACAATGTTAATATTGAAAGGTCAAGACAGAGTCCAGGTGGCGAATTTGTGTCTTGAATAGGGCTGTTGCTTCACAGTCCTCAAACAACCTGAAAGAACTTAAGCAGCTTTGCAAATCGGAATGGAGACAAAATACATTGTCCAGATTAGGGATGCACCGATATATTGGCCGCCGAAACATAACGGCCAAAAATGGCACTTTTGGCATAATGCCGAAAGTGCCATTTTCCTTCCGATACATCGGCGCATGCTTTCTCTCCTCCCCACTGGGCGGTGCTCTGTGTCCCAGCGAGGAGGAGAGAAAGTGTGACAGCCTGCCGAGCGTTGCAGGAGGAGAGCGCTGCGAGCGGCCGGCATTTCTCCAACACCGCTCAGCTTCCTATCACAGTCTGGCAGAGCGCTGTGTGGGCGGAAATGGGCCACGCTGTCACAGGAGGCGGAGCTCTCTTCTCCCTGCTCCGCTCGATCAGCCTCCTGTGACAGCGTGTCAGAGAGGAGAGCAAGTTACAAATACTCAGTGATCGCTGAGTGTTTGTAGATAATTGAGGACATGTTGTTAACTGTAGCCTCAATTATGAATGAATGGGAGTGATCTACATCCCCTTCTGTTTATTCATAGTTGTGGTTATAGTAAACATACAATGTCCTCATGTTATGAATGAACAGGAACACCAGAGGATTCCTGTTCATTTATAACAGGGGACACAGAAAAAGAGAGAGGATTTTGTGTTCTAAATCTCTTTCTATTTTAAAAGGGAAATCTCAGGAGTCTGTTTAGACCCCCAATATTTCCCCGGAGCCCCTAAAAGTAATGTAAAAAAAAAAAATTAATAAAAAAATTTCGGTTTTAAAATTTCCATTTCGGTGCACCTCTAGTCCAGATGTACAAAGCTTATGGAAACCTATCCACACAGGCTCAAGGCTGTAATAGCTGCGGCCAAAGTTGCGTTTACTAAATACTCACTTTGCAGTTATGCATTTTCTTTGACATAACAGAGTAATTTGGGGGTATACAAAAAAAAATCTAATTAAATTATGACTCAATGTTTGAGAAAGGATGCAAACTTCCAAGGTTGTAAATACTTCTTACAGCAACTGCCAAGTGGGATTTTTCTGATATAAAATCAGTATAAGCGGCAAGAAGACAGCAATTGTACAGCAGTGGTGGTCAACTTGGTATATAAAAGAGGCTTGGTCCGTGGCATGTCCACAGAGGACACACATTGGTAAATAACAGTCAGCAATTCTAGTGCTAATTATTATACAGGATTTATATAGCGCCAATAGTTTGCACAGCGCTTTACAATATAAGGAAGACATTACAGTCACAATACAATTTAAGACAAGATGGTAAGGAGGGCCCACAATCTAAAAGGGAGGGGCAAGTGATACATGAGGAGGTAGCTGTGCGGGGATGATTGTTTGAGAAAGTGATTGTTCAGTGGTTAGGTTGAGGTGGGATAGGCTTCCCTGAAGAGATGAGTCTAATCCCACCAGACCTGAGAAGAACAGCATAACTTCAGGGATGGGAGCACAGCGTATCACACTTAGCACTGGAGGAGTGTGCATCGGGCAAAGGAGGTTTACGGAATGAGTGGCGGCACATATGCCTGTAACTGTAACCTGCACTGTACTGTTCCAGGTATATCTTACCAGATAGACTGAAGCAAAACACTTGCTGTTATTGAGAAGAGGGAAAGATCGGCTAGCCAATTTGAACGGAGAAATGTGCAATAGCCTGTACTTTCGAGTCGGGAAAAGCTCGTAGGGCTATCCATGACCGATCCTTTAACATGTTACATTTTGACCTGTATAACAGAGCTGCAGTGGACAGTTGGTTAGTGACTGCATAATGTGCTCCTCCAAAAATACTTTATTAGATGGTTTTTCTAAGAAAAGAAATCACACTATCATAAATAAGCACATATTACTCCAGTGTTAGACTGTTCCATGGTACCTTCAATTCTGTCTTCATCAAAAGATCATCAGAAATAAATCAAGGAAGGGAGAACTTCAAACTGAAAGCAGACATAAACTTAAAGAGTGCCGGGATGAGTGTTAGGTCAGATGGAGAAGAAAACAAAATGATAGCTGGGAGTTGCTGTGTAAATACAACAGCTACTACAGCCCCTTTTCTCAAAAAATAGATCTTCTGAGAGCGTGTTTATAAACTGTTTATACATTAGATTTAGAGATAGTAACATACAAATAAGTAGAATATAACGTCAGCTAAAGCCACCTGACAAGTAAAAAAGAAAAAAAAGTTTTCCTATTTAACATTTAGTTTACCCTAATCAGTCCTAATTAACTTCTTCCCCTTAGCTACTTTCTTTCTTGTTCACTGGGGGGACACAGGAGTTCATATTCAGATACAGTCGCGTTATACTGCAGGAAGTCTGGACACTGGCAAACTGAAAAGCTTTAAGCCAGTCCCTGTATAACCCACTTTTACCCAGCTTGTCTTTTTTTTTGAGACAAATGTCTCTTATTGAGAAAAAAAAATATATATAACTAAATTTTGCTAGATGTTTTTTGATTATTATTTTTCCCTTGGATTCATCACTTAAGCTGGTCTCTACATAGTGGCTATCTTGATCGGTTTCCAGATCGTTTCCCCAGTCTAACTATGGAGGCTTTACATGGACCTTACTAGACTAGACATTGCAGGGTTAGCCTGCAATGTGACGTTTAGGCACTGGGCTCTGCATTGTGACACTTTTAGACCTAAGTGTACTGTTAGCTGCTGAGCACTTTCCAGGCTCAGAACCATGGCACAGCCCTAGATGTGACCCTTTTTCTGAAGAATCACATTGTAAGTATGGCTGGCTACAACATCAGGAACTAAGTGAAAAATCGAGGAAAAAAAAGCCTTTATTTTATTTAGAGGCCCTTCACACCAGAGTGCTGCTCTAAGCGCATGTTACTGTGCATTTACTGCATATTCTCACACTGCACACCTAGAGAGTGGTACTGTGCGTTGCATTAGCATTCATTTGAATGGCACCCCAACACACCTCTCGGCTGCTGTACTTTGTAGTGCCATACTGCACATATGTGCTGAGGTACAGTGAAAAAGTAGTGCTTGCAGTACTGCATGTTGAGTGTGTTATGCGATAACACACAGATACCGTGTGACACAGAATGCAACAATGTAAATGTGGATCCATACAGCCAATAAAATTTAGAATATATAATTGATCCCAAAGTGTGACTGTCCACCTTTCACTTACCATTATTTCAGTCAGTTTTTCATAAAATGAGAGATTTACCACCATTTAGGAGGTGGGGTATTGAGAATTTTTTGTAGGATTTGATAGACGGAGTCTCATGAAATAGCATTGCCAGCAAATCATAGTGAATTTTAAGATGTAAGCATTTGTCCATATTATTTTGCACTATTGGCCAGAATGGCTGTTTAACAGGGCAATTCCAACACGGATAAAAGAAATGTCCCCTCAATCCCACATCCCCTCCAGCCCTCTGGGGCGACATCTATTTACATAACTTCCTATCGGACTAGTACCTAGAGCAGGGGTGCCCATTATGTAGATTGTGATCTACCAGTAGCTCTCAAAGCTGATGCTGGTAGATCACGAAGGGTGTGAATAGTGGCCCCTTTATTCCATTTTGGTATATTTATTTAGCGATGCACACATGATTACCTATTAGCCTGAGTCTGCTTAGCCATGCTCCCTGACACCTTTCTGGTGGATACTGGTGGTTGAAGTGCTATGTATTACATAAAACAATATTAGTTTACACAGCCTGTTGCACTACGCTGTTTGCACAATACAGCAAGGTGAGCCAGGAGAGAGAGAGCGCAAAGAGAGAGATGGTACATGGTAGATCTCATGTAGCTCGTCATTTGAAAAGTAGATCTTAACACACCACATCTTGGGCACCCCTGACATAGAGTATAATTTTATAAACGCTTTCCTGCATTTTAGAGCGATAGAGGATACAAGTACCAGCTTTGCCATTTTATCTTTTTTACTCTAGGTTAGTGTAATGCGCAGGTCTCTCTACCCTTCCCTGATCAAGTAGATGTCTTTTTTGCAACTCCAATCTAAGAAGCAGTTTAAAAGAGAATAATGGGGTTTAATGTCTAAACTCCTCTACAGACTAAAACTTTACATTCTGAAGAAGTATTTATCATTCTGCAGGGGTCACACAGGCCATAATTGGAAATGTTTTGCGACATCCACTGGAAAGGAAACCTACTCCTCCCCAAATTGATCAAGGACTTTCAGTCTTGCATTTGTCATTAATTTGCCACAGCAACCTCACCATCCGTTCCCCATTTGCTGAAGATTTACAATATCTTACCCCGGACCAAAACCATGGAAATACCCCCTGTGGGGCGTAACATTGCATTAGCAAGGGGAATGTGTACAGTACACACCTTTATCAATGGTGAAGGCAGGGGGCATGAGCCAAGTTTCTCCTAGTCATCTTTTCTAAGGGCACCTATTGTTTATCTCTAACTAATACAATTTTGACTTTCTGGTTTCTGCATATGAAGGTCTGGAAGAGCTTGCATAACTGGCAGAAAAGTGGCATTGTAGCGCTATGCACACTCCATAAGTCTTTCTGAACTGCTTGCAAAAGATATAGCAAGTTGTGGCGAAAGAAGATTTGAAGATCATTGGTGAGCTGAATGCCCAGGTATCTGTGGCTGTTTTCTAAAGGAGGTATCCATTTGCACATCTGTTTTGATGCACCTGAAATGTATTTAGTTGACTTAAACTGAAAGTTCAGTTGAGCTAAAAGAAGAACTCCGGGCACAATTATTGTTAACCCTAGCAGTAGGGCTACCCCCGCACTGCAAGGGTGTTAAGTGCTTGTTTTTATCTAGGGACTAAAATTAAAAAAAACTTTATACTCACCTGAACCTCGCAGTGGGCTGACTGTTCGACCAGTCCCTTAAGCATCACTCTCCCTTTACTCCAGCGTTCTACAGTCTGAGTCATCACGTCTAATTATTGTATTGAATGTGGGGACACAGAGACATTCCATCGCTGGAGGGGAGTAGGAGACCGGCTGCAGGGACTGGTGTAGTAGTGGTGGTTCGGGTGAGTATATCTTTCCTATTTGCGATCCTAGATGAATGTGAAAATAACATGTCCTACTTATATATGGATATAAATTCCCCAAGCAGGAAAAGGGAAAGAAATTGCTACCGATTCCCAGGATATGTTGGTGTTGTTGGATTAACGAAGTACAGAAGGCAGCATAGGCAAAAGACCCAGCATGGCAGTGAGGCTTAGATTAGCCCACCAGAAGACCAGAGGATAGTATTTGCAGATTGTTGTATTATGTAGTATGGTATCTGTGTAATGTTCTGTCGGTAGGGACAGATGCTGTGCTTGAACTGGAAGGGGGAATACTAACAGGTTGTTAAAGCCCTATCGTGTACATCTGGGAGGATGTCTGTTGTAGGGACTGCAGGTACCACTGGATGTCACTGTTCACCATTGTTTTGCCTCTGTGCAATTATGTGAGTTTCTTGTTTAATGGGTAGTCCTACCCAAGGGTTGCTAGGTAGACTTTATGCCCTTTAACTATGTTCTCTAGGAGGAGGTATAAGGGACTGAGTGGGAAGAGATGGTTTTGTTCATTTAAAAAAAATCAAATACAGGGGAGCTACAGAAGTAGGGACACACATGTGCAGCAGTATACTATTCGTAAATTACTCATAGGATAGTAGAAAACAATATGGAAACAATGCTTCCAGGTACAGAAAATGTATTATTATAATATATATATATATATCGTTTGATAATCTCAAGGAAACCTTCAGTGGAAATTAAAACAAAGGCTGCCCTTGCAAATCACCTTTAAAAAATGTTTTAAACTTGCAAAACTGAAATTGGTTTACTATGAAGAGCACTGAAGTGGGTGAGATCACAGAAAGAACCTAACCAATGGGAATGATGTTCACTCACATCATAATCAGAAATATGGAGGCAGCATGTATTGTCCGATCTGCCTAGTGTTAGTGAAGTTGCACAATTACAAATATATTATGGTAAAATGTTCATAGATCAGTGTTTTAATTGTGTATATAGTTGCTGGGCTCGAGTTCTGCTTTAAATTCCCCAGTCTCCGCATGAAAAAAGGCATGGCAAAATAATCAGTAGATTTAGAGATAAAGACAGTAGACTTTATATGAAAATTTCAACTTCTCCGGAGAAAGTTGGGCTAGGGTCCCATTCCTGCCTTGCCTACCTCCCTGGTCTCTATTGGTCAGTGGACCAACCATCACATTAAGGGACCAAACAGGGAGGAGAGCGAGGATAAGGCCCAGCTTGAAAAGCCTAGATTTGCATAAAACTAGTTGTCTACAGCTTTTGATCTTCTGATCATATTGACATATACTGTAGTTTTGTAACCTCTTTATGCATTTTTATGTTTGTGACAGGCATTCTTTGACTTTGTCAGGGTGTTTTGACACCTTTCAGAAGTTTTATCCCCTTATTTCGTTACTTCCCTTTCCATTGGGGACAGTAAATAAATACAGCATTAGTATATAAGACCAAAGATAGAATAGTATACTATATGAAATTTAGGTCTACTTTTCAATTATGTGTCCCTCCTGAGCACTTTTATGAATTTCCTCCAATGGGTGGAGAGTTTTATGGCTACACAGTTCCCAACAGATTATGTAAAATGAACACATATAGATCATTTTAAAGAAAAAATATTTCGGTAAATGCTAGTATAGTAAAATTGTTTCAATATGTCCTAAAGAACACATTTATCTATAATAATTGTAGAGTTTGAAGAGAACAAAAATGAAGCAGAAGCAACTTTAGGAAAAAAAATCTTGCCATTTATAAATCAAGTATACATGGCTTAATAAGACATGACTTCCCAATGTGTCTCATCAAAAAGTGCTCTTAGGACCCCTTCCGGCCCCAAGCCAATCCCACCCTCCACCTCAATCTCCTAAAACATTCTAAAGGTAAATGCACTTTTATTGTTATCAAACATTTCTGCTTTCCTTCTTTTTTAGTTCTGGTCCTTGTTGGCCTCCAACGGGTCAAGTTTTCCAAATATCAAAGATGAAATATTAGTTATACCCTCTTCAAATGTAAATAAGAAGAAAGCTGTGTTTCTTTATGGAAATCTGAAAAGCATGCCCTTTTGGCTGGCACCAAGGATTGGACTTGTTAATTGCTATTCTAGACAACACTCAAGTCTCAGAAGCGTCATATCCCATCCTTAACCCTTATCTACATAAAATTGCTGCCTCTAGTTGTTGGGAATATTTGTGTTTCAGCTTCAGGGAGGAGAGAGGCTCTTGATTACATCCAGAATTTCCATCTGCGGTCTTACAAATGAGATGTGTCAGATTACAAAACACTTCAGAAGCAGCCACACAGCAGAGTTGATCACATGAGCCTGTGTCAGGAATGGAGATGCAGAATTCTCTACCATCATGCTGGTGCCTGAGAAAAAGAAAACCAGAAAAGCATATTAACCCTTTTGCTGCCAGGCCCTGTTCTCTGTTTTCTTCTTTTTTTTTTTTTACCTTCGGTAGCCAGACTATTTTTTTTGCAATTTTTCACTTTTTTATCATTTTTTACTTTCAGCTTTCAGTCTGTAAAATGTAAAACGCACAGGCCAGATTGAGTAAAAAGATGGTGCTAATGATTATGTAGGTCCCATGATATTGTGCAAATGTTTATCAAAACAATATTTTCTATAAAAATATATTATTGGTGCACACAAACACAATAAATCTTATAAATAAACTTTATTTAGTTAATAAATAACAAGTATTTGTAAATTTTAAATTGTTACTTTTTGCGAAGTGCTGAAAGTCGCAATACTGTATGTTACATGTGTGTGTATGTCAGGGACCATTTATTTTATTTTAACACTATGTTTTATTTAGGGAGGGAGAAGTGCCAGGAAGTGGTGGTGGGGGGAATCACATTTTTTTTTAATGACTGCGACCAGCGGCTTGTCAGCCACTGATCACAGCTCGTTAAGCCTGAGTGTTGCTGGGCCGCGCATCCTCGGAACTCGCATATCCGCACGGCAAAAAGGCTCCTGCACCTTTTTGTGCAATGAGTGACCCAAAAAATTTTCGAACACATTTGTGTGCATTTGCAAATGCGTAAACCGCGCAGTTCTGCAAACTCATGTCAATCGCGCAAGAAATGCGAATTGCCGCGTGTTCTCAGATGTGAACCAGGCCTAAAGCAGTAGAGTCTGGAGGTGTCTGCGACCATAAACCTATAGCAGAAGGGAATGCAGACAACATTAAGGTTTCTGAGCTGGTCAATTTGAAGCAGTTCTGTTTCGCCCTAACCTTTCACTGTCAACGACAGTGAAAGGGATAAAGGCAGTAAAAAAAAGCAGCAGCACTTTATTTGTATAAATTAATTTAACACCAAACTGAAAACAACAAAAGAAAATGTAGATGTATATCTTTAAAAGAAAATTCTGTGCAGATTATAATTGCTAGTTAACATGTAACTGTTGCTAATATGTATTGCAGGATTGATCACCTGTAGTACGGGATTTCATCAGAAACACTTACATTTTACAAGGGCTCAAACTTCCATTTTTACTTACTTTAACCTTCCTGGCGGTAATCCAGAGTGTGGCTCGGGGTTAATTTTCAGTACCAAAAGCTGTAACCCCGAGCCACACTCGGGCATCTTCCGGGTTCCTTCCCTGCGAGCGCCGGCGTTGCAGGGGGGCGGAACCGGCGAGAAATTCAAAAGTAAAAAATAGAAAAAAAAAAAAGAAAAAATACTGAGATAATCATACCACCAGGGAGGTTAATTAAACATTGTGTTTGGGTTATAATCTAAAAAAAAATCTAGAGATTTGCCTTACCATGTCTATTTATAATATTTATACACTGGTTAAGGTAAGTACCATGACACCATGAGGTGCTGGTTATTTCTCTGGCACATTGTTAGAAAAAGAAGTGCACTGCCAGAATTATTCAGACTTTTTAATTACAGCAAATGGGTTACAGGAATAAAAAAAAAAATTGTGCATCATTATTTTGCCCCCAACACAGCCAGAAATAAAAAAAATAAAAGGAAAACGGTTATGATAAAACCATCAGACATTTGTTTGGCACAACATATTTGGGCCTAAGCCCACTAGTATCACAAGTCCCCAGGTGGTGACGTAACATTTTGTAACTCATAGCAAACCAACAAATCAGAAGTCATCTTTTTTGTCCGCTGATATGGTCATCTATATTGTCATTGTTTGCTGGGGTCTTCTACACTTTACACAATACCACTGCTTTACCTTGAATAATCCTTGTTAATGAGATCTGCAATACATATCTAAAGAAAGGACAGTGGGAAATTTTCATGTCCTTTCCTAGATACAGCTCTGTACTGAGAGTCCAGTGGTTCCCCTATTTCAATGCTTCCAGTCTGTGCGCTTTCTGTACTTCCCATTCCCTGCTGTGCTATGACTGTAATTAGTTCCTGCAATCGAAGTCTATGTGGCTGCCATTTGCAGCAACTAATCGCATTCCTAAAACAGGAAGCACAGCATGCATGGACCAGCATATACCATTAAGTTTCTGCACAGTTTTCAAAGAGCCATATCTGGCAAAGAACAGCAGAGAAGTAAGTGCAATTAACAGGCTTACCTCCCTCTGTCCTTCTCTTAAGGTGGCCATACACTGTACAACCATCGCAAGACCTTAGTCTTGCGATGGTTGTAAAGTGATTCGAAAAACGTACGATCTGCGATCTTGGACAGGCAGATCGTACTCTCGATCATCGCAATGACCGCAATGCTGAACGGGCAGTGTGCGCGTGCGCACACCGGCCCATTCGGCATTTGTCTCCCGAGCACCGTTCAAACCAGCCGAAATCGATTTTCGGCTGGTTTTCTAGCGTACTCCTTAGACAAAAGACGTGCGACCGTACAGTAGAAACGGTCGCACGTCTTCGTTCACACTGCTCGATTCTCGTACGATCGCGGGATTTCCCGCGATTCTTGTACGAGAATCGAGCAGTGTATGGGCACCTTTAGTTGCTTCATGATTTCCTTTAATCTCTTCCCACCAGGCATTACCTTTGATAACTTTCCTCAGGACAATGCCCTGTGCTGAGGATATATTATTATACATTTTTGATAATATAAGCCTCCAGATGCCACCTGAACATTTTCTTTTACATTTGTCCACATTTGTCAGCCTATAATACAAAAATCAGCAGCAGCAGCAGCTGCTGTTGCTTTTTTTATGTTAAAACTTTTTCTTAGCTCTTGAACAATTATAAGGTATGCATTTTTCTGAATTATTCACATCTGGTTATCATGTGCATTGTCTCTAATTTTCAGAGGGCTGTATCTGGGAAAGGACAGCACAGAAGTAAGTGCAAACTTACCTCCCACTGTCCTTCCCTTAAATGTTTCATGATTTCCTTTAACCTCTTCCCACCAGCATTCCCTGCAATATCTTTCGTCAGGACGATGACCTGTGCGGAGGATAAGTTGATAAACATTTTCTCATTGAGGGCTAGCAGCTTTTGCTTTGCACGGGTCACCCCTAACTATGGGGACTACTAATGATCAGATAACAATCAAAGAGGTTCCCAATCATGTGATCATTATGCCAGCCATGCCAGTTTGATATATTACGTAATCTAAACAAAGCTGTTCATAAAGATTTAGGGGTCTATTCACGAAGCTGCCGAAGGATCTGGCCGTAGCTTCGGCCGATCCCTCGGCTAGCTTCGGCCCCAGGACCCCTTTGGTTCAGTAGAACCGAAGGGGTGCTGTACGGGCTATTCACAATAGCCCGTACAGCTCCCGATCATGGCCGAGCGGCTCAGCCGAGCCGTACAATGCTAGTTTACTATTGGCTATTGCAAATTGAAATAGCCAATAGTAATGTCCCAATGCTTTTCAATGGGAAAATTCTCTTTTTTTTCTATTCTGACATCGATCGTGTCAGAATAAAGAAAAAAAAAAGAAACAGCGGTGCTTCGCTTCGCTCCCAGAGCGCCAGGGAGAGTTTTTTTTTCTGACAGCTGGCTCCGCCCAATAGTTTCCTATTGTCCGGCGGCTCTGCTGCTGTCAGAAAAAAAAAACTCTCCCTGGCGCTCTGGGAGCTCCCCACAATCGTTTGGTATTTACTTTTTTAACTTTTTTCACTGTTTTTTCTGTTCTGCTCAGTACCTCTGAGGGACCGAGCAGAACAGCCGAGCCGAATGCCGCTCGGCGGCATTCGGCTATTCACTCACTGCTGTTCGGGATCTTTAAGAACAGTGTTCGGCTCACTACACTTCAGATCGGTCATTCACTCGGCTGCCCTCGGCAGCTTCGTGAATAGACCCCTTAGTCAACTCAAATATGAACATCTAATTAGGACAAACTTGCTTTTTTTAAATATAGCCTCCAAAAGATGTTGATGTTAAAATTTTATTGTCATTATCTTAACGTGTTACTACCAGATTCTGCTTTCATGCAATAATCTGATGGAATCTTTCTAGACTTATAATTTACTTTAAATAATGGCAAGCAGTGTCAAAAAGTAGTTTAATATTCTCCAAAAAAAAAAAAGAAGCAAAATCAGCAGTACCTGAATCTTTGGGAATGTGTACTTCTGCTGGCTCTCCATCTCCACCATTTCCAGTGGCACAAAGTTGTATTGTCACATGACTGGCCATTTCAGGAAGTGGAAGCTCTGCTCTTGTCTTGCTGGTTGCATACAGGGTGGGAGTTGATTGTGAATCCAGCCTATAAAGAAGCTGTGGAAACAAGAAATATTTACTATACTACGGGTGGAATTTATCAAAGCACTTTTAGCCTCTTAGATCAGCAAAGAGTTTTAGCCTCTTAGATCATTTTTTTTTATGTGCAAATCTGTCTTTTAACATCTGCCCCTGTTTTCTTCAGAGCTTGCACTACTTTTCCAACTGCACGTGTTTTGCACCTGTTTTCTTCAGAGCTTGCACTACTTTTTCAACTGCATGTTTTTTGCACCTTTTTTGCATGTGTTTTCATCTGCACTTGTTCTCGGCTGTCTGAAACTGGAGCATCACCTAAGAAAACAATCACAACTTAAGAAGTCCCCATGACCACTTCTTCAAGATGCGACAGTTCAGCTTTTTGCCTGAAGTTAGAAGTCTTCTTTCTTGGAGTCTATTAAACCTCATTTATCAACAACATTACACTAGCTTGTTAAATCTGGTGCAAATATATTCTGTGCAAGTTCAAACACTCGCAATTGCTTTGGTAAATCCCCCCTATGCGTTTTAGACTATTTTAAATAACAAAATAAGGCCATAACTTACAGAAAAATATATTTGATTACATGTATCTTTACTAAATGTTGCAACCTAAAGTCACATCCTTATGATGCATATGAAATAGCAGTAACCCCGTAGGATACATTTATAGTTAAATTCTGTGCAAATACTGAAAAGAGTCTTACGTAGGATCCATTAGTGCCGTTGACAGATAACACTACAAACAGTAGGCTTTATTTATCAACATTGTTCCTGTACCAACTGTCTGTATTGCTTCACAGGCAACCAATCACGTTCAAACCTGCATTATACAATTATATTTTAATTTGGCATCTATATGGATACTATTAACCTTTTCAATGCCAATGGCTTTTTTTTTCATTTTATGCACACATAAAATGCAAATCTTTATCCTGAAGATCATATTTATTAACATCGCTGTGATACATACACATTTTGCCATGTTTTATCCCTTTAAACACATTTCAAGTACAGAAAAATAACTGTTGATGTGCCAGAAATATTTGTTTTTAACATGACAACACAATGCTTTATTAGATCTGAATATGAGAAATGAAGCCTACTTAATTTTTCATGGATTATAAATAACACAGACCTGTTCTCATAACCCTTCCTTGTGCACAGGCAGAGAGCACAGAAATATACCAGCTCACAAAATGTAACTTTCTTATAAAATAAACATTGGATAATTAGTAATACTATTTTTAAATGCATATAGATTCCTAGTAAATTCAATTATTTCAGCTACACCTTTTTTTTCTGTATTGTGTATGTAATTCCAATTCCTAACTTGGCTGTTGAAAGCTTTGCATCTTATATGGTAGATCTTGTACCAATTATTAACTTTCTTCCTGGAAAGACTTTGTAAAGGCTACTGTAGCGGAGGCACACTCTCAAACTCAAATTTATTATCAGCTGATATTCTATAAATGTTTTGGAGTCACAGTTGTATCAAGCCCCACTCCTTCACAGTAAGCCCCAGCCATGCCCTAGCAGTGTTGTTGCTTCTGCAGCAATAGCTGCATCCTCCAGTTGAAACATGCCAAGCAATGTGGATTGTGGCACTGCAACTTCAGCACAATAATGGAATATTACCAAACATTCCAGATGTGATCACTTGTGTAGTACTGCTACAGCAACTGTATTGGAGCAGTGCAGAAGTACTGACATGAATGAATTTGTAGAACACTTCATTAACCTTTTCTGCCAGCAGGAATCTTGTGTAGAATATTCTTGGGTTTCAAGAACTGTAACTTCCATACAATGAGGGTGAGTCTCATTTGTTACCTTGTATGCTGTTACAGGAGACTCATTCTTCATTGCTATCACTGGATCCCATTTGATGTTAATGCTGGAGCCGGAAAGTGTCCAGGAAATATTACGCGGAGGTCTCTTAGGAGCTGCAGAAGAAAATTATTGTTATGTCAGTTGTCCTCAATTCACAAAGTTAAAACATTTTGAATATTGTTTGCTCCACCCTTATCCCTGCCCACAGGACCAGTGTAAATCTATAAAAGAGATTTATTCTTTTTTATTCTTCATTCTTTTTTTTTGTTCTCACATCTCTTGGCCTACACCAGTGTCATGTTGTCCCTACCTCTGTTTTGTAAATCGACACAGTTACACCTGGGTTCATGCCTCTACCAGATGCATTCCCAGTTCCTCGACTGGCCCCTCTCTCTCTCTCTCATCCCATATGTCCTATTTAGGATCATGGTGGTGAGTCAGGTAGTCTCTGTCTCTGCTCTTTCTCTCTCTTTCATTTTTCTCTTTCACTCTCCCTGGTTTTCTGTCATTTTCCCCTCTCTCCTGTATCAGGTCTCCTGCGACCAAAGTTTGTTTTCCCTTCCTCCCAGCCTTCAGGTGTGGATGCCTCTTAGGCGCAGCGGCCCTCCCTCTGCATGTTTTGCCGGCCGGGTCGATGACGTCACCATATTCAGCGTTGGACGTTCGCGCATGCGCAGTTGTGTTTGGCGGCTGGGCGCCATCTTGGATGAGGGCAGATGCCCCTTCTGATTCGTGGGTGGTGGGAGGGAGGATCCATTGGGCAGGTACAGGGCAGAACGAAGCCCTGATATAAGGCGGGAGGCTGCACACATGGCGTCCTATGCACATGGAGCTAGGATCTGTTGCTTTGTCGTTGAACGCCAGTTCCTGTCATCTGGGGTAAGTATGTTCTATACTAGGTGAGATATTTTCTCTTATCAATCTCCATCTAAATCCCTCTGTGCTCCCTCTTACAGTTATCTTTCTGGAGTGTTTTTTCCCTCTTTTACCATGAGCCGTTCACCGCCCTTTTCAAGATCCGCCAACCACTTCAAGGTAGGGGACTAATGTCAGGGTAAGTTTAAAAAAAAAAGTGCATTGGCTGACAGACTTTGTAAATCTTTTTTTTCCCCTCCCAGCCCATCTCGCTCTCCTAGCGCCAAGTGGCGCAGATCGCATCGCAGCAGCACACATTCGGGCCAGTTCGCAGACTCACATCATCAGAGAGAAAGAGAACAATCCCCAAAGAAGAGGTCTTCTAAGAGGCATCACCTCTCTACCTCCCCGAAACATTGACACAGGCCCAAGGTTTAACGCTTCAAGACCCTTCCTCCAAAGAAAAGACCAAAAGAGGGGATGGAGGGGCACCCAGGCTTCCTTTATGCGGCAGCAGAGGCAAAAACCTGTGCTTACTCCTCCCGATTCCATTAAGCCCTTTTGACGGATTGCACGCCCAACCGGTCGCAGTGGGGGCCAGATTACATCAGTTCGCGCATGTTTGGGCAAAATTGTGCAGAGATCCGTGGGTGGTCTCAACGATCAACTACGGTAATTTCTGGACTTTCAAGTCGAGACCCCCACATAATTAATTTTTACCAACAAGGATTCCAGCCTCACCTCAAAGGAAGAAGGTCCTCTTTCACTATCTCAATTCCCTGTTGCTGTTGCCCAGTTCCTCACGCAGTGTGATTCAGGGGGTTTTATTCCACACTTTCTTGTGAAGAAAAAAACAGGCGATTGGAGGCCGGTGACAGATTTAAAACGGCTGAACAAGCACATTCACCTGCAAAGATTCAAAATGGAATCCCTTCAGACCATTAACCAAACTATTCGCCCGGGAGACTCGATGTTATCAGTAGACCTGCAGGACGCATATCTACATATTCCCATTCTTACATCTTTTCAAAGATCCTTGAGGTTTCCGCAGCCTACATCTGCAATTTGTGAGTCTGGCGTTGGGCCTATCCACCTCTCCCAGGACATTCACAAAGGTACTCAATTTCCATCCTTGCACAGTTACAAAGCATCAAGTAGATCACACCCCTTGTCTCACAGTTGACAAAATGGTGGGCCTTGAAATGCTTACCCCTGGGGGTGGATATCTCTGTACCCGTCTGGACGTATCTACAGAATTTGCACCTCTGGCATTGGAAGGTACCCTTGTATTTACAACAGGTAAGGGGCTTGCTCACAAAATCGCTGTTGGTCAATTTATCCTTCAAGGAAGGGCATCTTCGATAGGTGATGGTGGGTTTGATACCCACAAACCTCGAGATTCGTGAATCTCTGGTCAGGCAATGCCAATGTTTTTGAAGGATCTTTAATATTTGTGCATGTTGGCTATTATATGTTAGAATTAATCTTACCAGGGAGTCCTCTCTGCCGCTTTTATTTGATTTAAATGTATTTGTATTAGTATTATTGAATTTCCTAAGTCCACTTTTTACCCGTTTGTAAGATTTTTTCAATATTTTATTTGAGTAGCCCCGGGCTCTTAGCCTGAGTCTTAATTTATGTGCCTCTCTTTCAAAGTCCACATCGTTAGTACAATTTCGTCTGACTCTGAGGTATTGACCAAAAGGGATACTGTCTTTTAAGCGGGATGGGTGGGCACTGTTGGCTGCTAAGATGGCATTACCAGCTGTGGCTTTTCTATATAAACTGGTGTAGAGGGTCCCTTCGGCGTCTTTACATATTAAAACATCCAAAAAGGGTAACCTATTACAATCATGGGTGACGGTGAATTTTAAATTAAGATCGTTGAAGTTTAATATATCAACAAAGTCTCCCAAAAGTTTCACGCCCCCTGTCCATAGTAGGAGGATATCGTCTATGTACCTGTGCCATGACAGCACATGGCACAGGTACATAGACAAGTCCTCCCGGGCCCAAAGGTCCTGCTCCCAAAGGTACCTGTGCCATGTGCTGTCATGGCACAGGTACATAGACGATATCCTCCTACTATGGACAGGGGGCGTGGAACTTTTGGGAGACTTTGTTGATATATTAAACTTCAACGATCTTAATCTAAAGTTCACCGTCACCCATGATTGTAATAGGTTACCCTTTTTGGATGTTTTAATATGTAAAGACGCCGAAGGGACCCTCTACACCAGTTTATATAGAAAAGCCACAGCTGGTAATGCCATCTTAGCAGCCAACAGTGACCACCCATCCCTCTTGAAAGACAGTATCCCTTCTGGTCAATACCTGAGAGTCAGACGAAATTGTACTAACGATGTGGACTTTGAAAGAGAGGCACATAAATTAAGACTCAGGCTAAGAGCCCGGGGCTACTCAAATAAAATATTGAAAAAATCTTACAAACGGGTAAAAAGTGGACTTAGGAAATTCAATAATACTAATACAAATACATTTAAATCAAATAAAAGCGGCAGAGAGGACTCCCTGGTAAGATTAATTCTAACATATAATAGCCAACATGCACAAATATTAAAGATCCTTCAAAAACATTGGCATTGCCTGACCAGAGATTCACGAATCTCGAGGTTTGTGGGTATCAAACCCACCATCACCTATCGAAGATGCCCTTCCTTGAAGGATAAATTGACCAACAGCGATTTTGTGAGCAAGCCCCTTACCTGTTGTAAATACAAGGGTACCTTCCAATGCCAGAGGTGCAAATTCTGTAGATACGTCCAGACGGGTACAGAGATATCCACCCCCAGGGGTAAGCATTTCAAGGCCCACCATTTTGTCAACTGTGAGACAAGGGGTGTGATTTACTTGATGCTTTGTAACTGTGACATGTTTTATGTGGGAAAAACCAAACGCATGTTTAAGAACAGAATATCGGACCATCTGTCCGACATAGCAGCAAGGGACCTTAGGTCCCCTATAGTTAGACACTTTGTAAATACACATAATGGACGTATCGACAGACTTCGCTTTTTTGCCCTGGACAGGGTACATCAGCCCAGACGCGGGGGGGACTGGGACAAATCCCTTCTGCAGAGAGAGTGCAGGTGGATCCATCAAACGGAGGCTCATGAGGCGCCAGGTCTTAACGATATGATTAACTTTCGTTGCTTTCTCTGAATAATGCATACACCAAACATAATGCTTCCTGCTTCAATAGTTGAACCCTATACGTTCAGATTATATATAATTTTTTATTTTTATTTTCGTGGATTATCAGTCACTTTTAATATATATTTTACAACTTGTTAACTGACTTTTTGATTTTTCATTTATATATCTTTGAACTTTATAGGGGACTCCCTATGGCCTTGGTTGTCATCAGGGTAGAGTTTTGAACTGGCTGTTTAACACTATGGGTTGTGCAGTATAATAGAGAGTATAATATAATATAATAGAGAGTATATCTCTCTATTTCATACCTATATATATTGATGTTATGCCAGTTTCGTTTTCACATATCTTTATGTGACTCTGAAACTATGATTCAGCTACAACAATAGAAACTTTCCACAAACCCCCATGTGATCCCAAAAATGACCCGTTCAAGCTGTATCATCCTTTTGGTCCGTATGGACATAGATGACTGTTATTTTGTTTGTTTATTTCTTTATTATTGTACATTAGTTAAAATACATTTATACCTGTGATTATAGACGGGTAAAGGGTCTCAGAAATGTCATTTAAGGCTCCACATGTGCCATTACGTTATTTTGAAGTATATGTAATATTAAAAGTACATCCTTTTTGAAACACGATATGGCCGGCTGATCGCTTGATGTCTGGCAACCAATTAGCCTCATTAATCGGCTATTTATTACATCCATACAAGACTCAAAGCACACACCCCTCTGAAGAAGCCCCTGAGTGGGGAGGAAACGCGTCAGGGTTATGTGTGCTATCCACTTCCCTGGACACTCATCAAAGCTCATCCCGCACATCAGCCGCGGCAGAAGCACTGTCCAGCCCGGGCTTTGAGGTGCGGAGACGGAGCCCAGTCGGCCGGGATTTGGTCAGAGTCCAGCCTGCATCGGAATCCTCATTAATCTAGCAGAGTCTGAGTAAAAAGACCAGACGACAGATCGCTTCATTTTTTACAGTCCAAGGATTTATCATCATACTGGGAACCTTCCACCGTTGAGACCCCTGCTTTTACCTTTTTCGCTTTGTTCACTGTGCGGCCGCACACATCTAT